ACACTCATTAGCACCCTTGGTCTCAAAGGGTTGGCAAAGGGAGCTTTCTTGGGGCCCATGGTGACTTATTTTGCAGAAACAGGCACCAAAAACAGTGATAATATGGATAATATGGAATGTACCGAATGTATCCTTAGATGCGTGCACACTGGCTGGCTTGTAAACACTGGCACACAAGGGGAAGTTCAGGCCACACGTGGACACGTCTCGTACGCATCGTATCGCATACCGGGTTTTGTATTGGGAAGCGAGGCAAATTTTTTTCGATCAAATGCATTGGCTACCGGATTTATCGGATACTGATAGCATCGGGAACCGGGGGTCCACTGTATATGATTGGGCAACCACAGTGTATGAAAGAAAAATAAATGATATTTTTACTATACTGACCGCTTCCCACCAAGGAAAGGTGAGCTAAATAAGTTAACACATTCATCAGTAGCTGTCATGCCATTAACCCTTTCAGGGTTGGTGCCGTACTAGTACGGCTTGCATGCCAGGGATGGTGCTGTACTGGTACGCATAAATTCTAGCACCTTCAGATCTAGCGAGAGAAAGCTGGTAGGCCTACATATGAAATAATGGATCTATGTTGTCAGTATGCACAGTATAAAAATAAATCCTGCAGCACACAGTGCATAATGAGAAAAAAAAATCCGACTGTGTTTTTGGTTTAAAACAGCGACTTTGCAGTGTATTTCTGTATGCTATTTATGGTTGTATTCTAGTTTTCTGGTCTCATTTTATGGAATGGAAGAGATATTACAGAAATTGACATGATTTTGATTGGTTTCCCAAAGAAAAGTACCTTGAAATTGAGCTCAAAGTAGCAGAAATGTTCAATTTTTGCCAAAGTTCAAATGTAAACAAATCATGCCATGCATCCAAAACACATCAACTGGTGAGCCTAATATTCTTTCACAAGTGTGCTGATATTATTTATACCATTTCTACACTAATGCAGTAGACTGCATAACAGTAAATCTTCTATTTTTTTGTGAGAATAAAAATTCAAAGTGGAAAGCAAAAGAAATGTAACAGAGGCATGGGGGCGTGACTAATGAACAGAGGAAATGTTATTTTAGTGCCAGGAATGTCTGTCTTGTTTATTCTGGATCCTATTTGGGAATTGGCATCTTTTGAAATTTGTGTGAAATTGGCAAAATTGCCAATTTCTGACCACTTTATTGGATAGTTGAAATCGGTAAATGGGTGGTTTCTTGTACTCATTTGATAGAAAAAATGGAGTTCTAGCAAAATAGTTATGATTTTTTGTCGACTGGTACATTGGAATTGGCCGAAAATAGGGCTCAAACTGGGCGAAATTGCCGATGCTTAAACATCGTCCAGGCCACTAACTTCATGAGAGCATAGTTCCGCAAGTTTTCCATCAAATTTCTTACTTTTGGTGTCATTATGATCAGGAAAAGATTCTTTATCATTTCATAAGAAAAAATTATATATTTTTGTTTTTTCGAAAAATTTCTGACCCTGAGAACAAGTTTAGGAGAGGGCCTGCCGATCCTGAAAGGGTTAATTTTATATTATAATTATTACATTTAAAGTAATGCCATTCTTTAAACCCATAATTTTAGGAACTAAAGGGGAGAGAGAGTGGGTGGTTGACAATAGTGGCTGTAGCAAATGAAGATGAGATTGTTTTCTCATGATCATAGCAATAATGGACAAGGCTGTAACCAATAGACTCTGTCCATTGTTTCAGAATTGGATGACCCAGTACATCTGCATTTCTAGTTGAGTAAGTCAAGGTCCGTTACATATTATGACAATGGTAAACATTTTTGACATTTTTGACACTGCAGTGCACTGTCATGAAGGATGAACTCAAGTGAACTGGCATCTTTAACCATTATTTATTTACTGGATATGAAGACACCAACATGCAGCACAAGCTTTTTCGGAGATGTTTCACTCAAAGAAGAATTCTGCTAATACAAACTTGCTCTGCATATTCTGTCTTCCTAAGGTATGCATAACTCAGCATTTTGCCCATACACCTACTTTTTTATTTTGTGTGATTATGGCCATAACCACAAGTTTCAAATTCATTTGATAAACTCATATTTTACTACCCTTACATGTGCATAATTACAGTGGTACCTTGACTTACGAGTGTCCCAACTTACGAGTTTTCCGAATTATGAGCCGTCGCTTGGTCAATTTTTTGCTTTGAATTATGAGCCAAAATCTGAGTTATGAGCGAGTTTCAGATATGCAGCCACCAGTTGGTGCAGCAAATGCCACAACAGTGCACACGGTTACCTCGCCATGGAAGCATCTCTCTCGTGTTGTGCTTGTGTTTTGTGCAGTTATTTTGCCAGATTTCTTATTTCTAACCATGGGTCCTAAGAAAGTAAGTGCAAAGGACAATGCTGAGAAGAAGAAGAGCATGATGATGTCCACTGAATTAAAGCATGAAATTATAGAAAAACACGAGCGAGGTGTGCATGTAGTCGACTTAGCTAGGTAGTACAAGTGTAGTATGTACTTCATGCCTCGTGCCTTCTCACAGAGAAGGCATGAGGCATTTATGCTGATTTACTTCCGAAATATTCACCCAAAACATAGGTTGGTCTCCTGACTCGAGATAAAAAATAAAAAAAATTCAGAGAAAATCGCTTTTCAGTGTTTTCCTTACTAAACTAGTGATCTGGTGCAGTTAGCCTCACAAACACTCTGTTTTTTTTTTCTTATAATAAGACCTCAGAAGGGCAAGAATGGGAAGATATGGTCAGGGCGATAATTATGTTTACTTCGGGAGTGACCACCACCACTCGTCACATAATGACATATTTTATTCATTCTAGAGTATATATTGTGTTTCTATGTTATTTATATTGTTTATTATGTCATGTTAGGTTAGATCAATTGTGATAGGTAAATAAGCCACAGAGTTGATATTAGCGTTATACTGAAGTATTTTCTCCTGCCTCCCGAGAGCCAGGAATTCAGCTGGAACGAATTAATGGCATTTCATTTAATGTCAATGAGGAAAATTGATTTGATATACAGTAGGGCCCTTTTTTACGGCATTTTGCTTTATGGTGTTCCGCTAATATGGTCATTTCAAGGCATGACCAAAACTCTATACGGCTCCCCCCACCTGATTTTCTAATACGGTCACCGTGCCCCACCTGGTTTGTTTACATTGTCCGTGAGATCCTTAAGCACTAAGTCTCTCCATTATGTCTAGAAACTCCAAAACTTCAAGTGTTTTTAAGTTATTTCATATTTTATGTATACTCTGATAATTATACTTATGTAAACCTGTACCTATATAAACTTACACACTGTGCTGGCTTGCAGGTACACGTTAAAATCAGTAAGAGTGTCTTATGTCTCAAGACGCTATATTAGTAGTAGTAATAATAATAATAATAATAATCACTGAGTCTCATTGAATGTTGTGTATTACATTAATATACATTTTTTGTTAATCCATCTATGATATTTCTTCAAAATTATATAATAAACACGCTACATAACATATAAAGATAATAAATACACCCCACAGTAGAATAACATTTTCTCTAGTCCAACGTAAGAGAAAATGTGTTACTGGAGGTAACTGTAGAAAATTATTCCCTTCATATGTAAGTTAATTCAGGTATACACAAATATAGTTACATAGATTATTATACATAGCAGCATATGTGTAAAGTACCTAGGATAACCCAAAAAAGTCAGACAGAGTGACTTATTTTCATTGCCTTCACTCACAGTGTCATTTCTTCTAAAAATGGTGTTACATGAGAATGGGAGTGTTCCTCTTTATTTATACTACCATATCAAGGTAGAGACAACTTGTACACAAACCATACATGTATGCCTGGCTTGTTTACAAAACTTGCATTCGCTTGGTTTGCTGGTTTGTTTACATAACTCTGCACCTGTTCTCCCTCATGTACTCATTCTCTTTCTCTCAATTATTTGTTTTATCTCGTTTACTCACACCCGACCCTACATTAAGACTACAAATATTTTAAGGTAAGTAATGAGTGAACTGTATATGCATTTTATTGCTCTGGGACACTTAAATGTAAATATAAAAGAAAACTACCTGTTTAAAATTTAATCCTACAAGATCACTTACTCACCCAAAACCAAATAAATACTGAATAACTGAACCTTATAAATTGAATATCTTAAATGTTTCTCACAATTATATCACATAAATGTTAAACCTAAAACCCAATCTAACTTTATTATTTTTTAAATACACTACCTAACAGAATCCTTCATATGACCTGTCTTTGTAATACTCACTTGTGCTTTATAGTAATCTGTTTACATTAATGTTTTATCACTGACTTCATCATTGCTTAATTAACTTAAGTTATTTTAAGCCAGCCCGTAATGCTATGCATAGTATAAGTGGCTTTGGCATACTGCTCTTATCTGTATTTTTTTGTACCTCTGTATGTGTGCACAAATTTATAATAAATAAATAAATAAATAAATAAATAAATAAATAGAATATTGTGTGGGTGGAATGGCCTGGTATGGTAGCCTGGCTAGCTACCATATATACCACACATGATTTCTTACAATAAATACTACTCATCTCACCCTAGGTTAAGACTACAGATATTTTAAGGTAAGTAATGAGTGAACTGTATGTGTACTTTATCACTCTGGGATGCTTAATTGTCTTATTTTACGTTAATGTAGACATTTTCATTAATCCACCTACGATATTTTCTTCAAAATTATATAAGAAACATGTTACATATCATGTAGCATATAAACATAACACATAAACATGCAATGTTTATATGTTATCGAGTGGAGAGTGGGATGGAGAGTAAACATTACGTTTTCTCTGATGCAGCGTTAGAGAAAACTGTGAATCTGGCGAGTGGTGCAGTAACCGCCCTTCATATGCGTTTGTTTACAATTCTTGGCATGAATTATTCATTACTTCTCCCTTTGTTTATGATGGCATCTAAAGGTAGTTGTTAGAAATGATTAAACTCATTGAACATGGCAATAATATGGCTGTGTAGTGTAATAATATAGCTGTGTATTGTAATATAGCTGTGTAGTGTAGCCCAGGGGGGAGGGCTACATACGTGTACTGTACCTACATCCACTGCTACCTACCCCTCAAGGAAGGTTCCTTGATGTTGGTGAGGGGCTCTTGATTTAGGGAATTGGATCTGTGCTCCAGTTCCCCGAATTAAGCCTGAATGCCTTCCACATCCCCCCCCAGGCGCTGTATAATCCTCCGGGTTTAGCGCTTCCCCCTTGATTATAATAATAATAATACTGCTACCTACACTGACTTCCTACAAATAAATACTACTCACCTCTTGCCCTACATTAAGACTACAAATATTTTAAGGGTAGTAATGAATGTACTGTAGCAGTAAATGACAGATTAAAGAGGTGTGTGCAATGTGGACTAGGGTGCAAGCTTTTGTAGAGAAATGCCACCCTGACCAAGCTGAAACAAGACATATCTGCAACATGTTCAGTGACAAAACCCTGTCCCACTTCAGGGAAATCTTAGAGAGACACCAGAAACAGACCTCTATGGACAGATTTGTTGTGAGACAGGGGTCCAGTGACTCTCAAGCTGGTCCTAGTGGCATTAAAAGACAACGAAGGGAAGTAACCCCAGAGAAGGCTTTGCTACCTGAAGTCTTTATGGAGGGGGATTCCCCTTCCAAACACTAACTCCTCTCTCTTTCCTCTTCCCTATCTTCCAGAAGCCAGCATTAGCCTTCAATAAAGGTATGTAAAACTTACATAATTGTTAAAAAAAAAAATTTTTTGTGAATATTTTTGTCTGGAACAGATTAATTGTATTTCCATTAATTCTTATGGGAAATATTAATTCGGTTTTCAGACATTTCGGTCATCAGCTGACCTTCTGAAATGGATTACGGCCAATAACCGAGGGTCCACTGTATGTGTATTTTACTTTTTTATTGTTTTTTTAATGCCTACTTCTATTGCTAACTTAATATATGTTAGTGTAAACTTGTTATCTAGTATTTATATGCATTTGTAAGTGAAAAAAAAGGGTGTTCCACTTTATGGCAGTAGCCTGGAACCTAACCTGCCGTATAAGTGGGGCCCTACTGTACGAGCAAATTGAGTTACGAACTGGGTCACAGAACAAATTAGACTTGTCAGTCAAGGTACCACTGTATAGCTAAATTAAATTTATTAAGTACAGTAGGTGAAACATTTCTGCATAGGATTCAATGACCCATTAACACTTACCATCAACCAATAAGGAATCCCTGTCATTTTCTCACTCAGCATGCCCAGTTTTTTTACTCTTCCCATTTTCTGTAGTCAGCCTTGAGCACACCCTGATCTTCCCTTCCCAATGATGAGCAAGACCGGGTGACCACTGTAGAAACAGCTAATATGGAACGGTGGCAGCCTCCGTGCATCATCAAACTCAATGCAGAAAAATATTTTTCATACTACAAAAGTATGTATTCTGTATTTAGATTATGATGACATACCAGCAATCCTACAACCAGGATTCCCAGTCATGATGTAAAGTGTTTTAATATCAATCTGCTATAAGTATTGCTATTCTAGATATATATGCAGAGTACCTCTTTATTACTGGTCATGAGCAAGGATCTACATCCAGTGACAGGTATTAGGTGAAGTCAATGCTTTACTAAAAACCTTTCAAGTTGCCCTAAAGCTGGTGAAGAGCTCCTGACTCAAGAAATTGAAGATACCCTTTCCTTCCTTGGATAAAACCCAACTATCCACATCCTTCTCATTCCTAGGGAGCTGTGTGAGCCTTACAGGTTTAGGACTTCATAATTATAATTATAATAATGATAATTTCAGGCGCACCTCCACATACAACTTCCAATCATGTCAAGCACATTAATAATGTTAGTCAAAATAGCCTACACCAAATATTTTGGTAGTTATCCATCAGATTTAGATTAGATTTTGCCACCGAAGTGGCTAGTTTATTGTGCACCCCATATCCATCCTGTGGACAGTAGCGCAAGAGCATATGGATACACAAAAGGCCCAGGAACTAGGCCCCAAGGAGTTAACATGAATACATATGGATTTATATTTACATATCTATAGTTCACTTATCTGTTACAAGCAAATTTAGGAAATTTGCTTAGTATATCTAGTATTTTATTTTCATTAATAAGATATCTTGACATGTCACATAGGTTATTATACTGTCTATCTCTGTATTCCTCAATAAGTGGACAATTAAGCACATAGTGTTCAAGACAGTGACCATATGCCTGATCACATAATTTACATTTAGTTTGGTCATCATCTGTGTGTCTCCCAAACTGCCAGAAGTACTTGTAACCAAGCCTAAGCCTGGCCACTACAACATCAGTCAGTCTGTTCACATTGCACATTGCTCCATAAACATACTTATCTACGTTCATGTTATGATAGTGGGTTACAGATCTACTCAGGCTTCTAATTGCATTCCTATAACAATCATTTTCATTATTTACTTCTTTCCTAATATTATTCCTAATGCTAGACACAGTTATACCAAAGTTATATTCTACATTCTCCTTCTGGGTACTCTTCTTGGCTAACATAACAGCTTTATCATGAAGGAGTAATCCAATGTGTGATGGGATCCATAGCAACTGTACATTAATTCCTTTGTCCCTGATTTTTGAGTATATATATCTGGCTTCTCCAGTGAGCATGTTATTGGAGTCATTATATGAGTCAAGAGCCTTCAATGATGACATAGAATCAGTAATGATGATAGAGTCAAGCTCGGTGTCATAGGTTAGCTTTAGCGCCATTAGGATTGCAAACAATTCAGTTTGCAGTGTAGATGCCCAGTTGTTAATTCTTATGCCTAACTCAACAAATTTATTATCGTTCTTAACTAGGGAGGTGGCAACATGAGCAGATGCAGCCCTGCCAGAAGACTCCTGTTTAGATCCATCAGTGTATATAACTTGTGATAACTTATTACCACCAGCTAGGCGAGAAATTTCTTCTTGAGCAGTTGCTTTAACAAGTGATTTAAGGAAGGGATTACTAGCAATGAGCTTCTTGGGAGGGACTTGCAGGTATGTGATATTAAATGAACACATCTTCCATGGAGGGGTGAAATGCTCTTGTTGCCTACAGTGATACAGTTCATGCAGGTTATAAAACTTGATGCAATTGCACATTTTCACAATCCATTTAGATCTGTGTGTATTTACCTCTAGACACTTGGTAAGATTCATTGTGACAGAGTCTGGTTCATTTCTCAACATTCTAATACCGAGTACAGTGTTAATCTCAACAATCCTATCACTGATACTAGAAATACCAAGCTCCTTCCTCATATTAAGAACCTTTGTAGATCTGGGACACCCAAGAATAATTCTGAGAGCTTCATTCTGCATTAACTCCAAGGGTCGGAGAGAACTTTCCCTGGCTATTAACCCATAAACGGTCCAAACGTATATATACATTCACTACCGTACTGCCCCAACTTTTTTGAGAAAAAAAACATTGTTGTTTTTTAATAGGAAAAAAGAGCATATGGTACCCAGGCATCCCCAATTATTTTAATATGGTGCACAGTGAGTGCTCACACCCATTCTCACATGTCTAGGTGACTCAGGCTTATCGTGGCAATGTTAAATGTAGGACACATAAAACGTATATATATATGTTTGGGGCACTAGCGGTAAAAACGTATATGTACGTTTGGACCATTTACGGTTAAGAATGGTGCTCATCTTCTCATGCCCTGTTGTATGTATCATGATGTCATCAGCATAGCTTATAGCTATATGTTTAGGTGAGGTAGGTAGAGCATTTAGGAGAGCATTAATTAGAATATTAAATAGCATGGGACTATGAACTCCTCCCTGCAGTGTACCTAAAGACCTTTCTTTAGACTCACTTCTAAAGCCTTGATAAAGGACAGAGGATACTCTATTTGACAGGTATCATATTATCCAGCAGAGTAAGCTACCACCAATATTCATTTTGGCTAGTTCATGTAGTATAACGGTTCTGTTCACAATATCAAATGCAGATTTTATATCAAGAAAAGTGGTAAAACTAGTAGAGGTGTGTGCAGTGAGAAAGGTGGAAATACAGTTCTGCACACTTTTACCTTTCACGAACCCATAGAGGTAGGGGAAAAGTTGGTGTCTGATTCTGTAGTACAGTCTGTTAAGTATCATTCTTTCAAAGGTTTTACAAAGACAACTAGTTAAGGAGATCGGTCTAAATGTATCAGGCTGTTGGGGCATAGGGATAGGCACAATGAGACTATTGGTCCAGGAAGTAGGAAGAACGCCCTCAATGTAACTGAGATTATACAGTGCCAACAAAGGGTTATCAGGCACGTGCCTTAGAGTTCTGAGAATATCATAGGCTATACCATCCTCTCCAGGAGCAGTTGATCAACCTTTAGTTAATGCATTATCTAATTCATACTCAGTGAAGAGGCAATCACTCTCATCAATATTTTGGCTCATAAAATTAATCAGTTTCAACATTTCTTCAGAAGTGTCTCTAAATTTTTTCTAATATGAGATGGAAGGTTTTCATGCCTGGATGTTTTGGACCAGTCATTTATGAGGTCATTTGCTTTTTCAAGAGGAAAGGGATGAACAACATTGCCAGTCTTTTTCCTGGTTATTTATTTGTACCTTTCCAAGCCAAAACTAAAGAGGTGGACCTATTTAATCCACTTACAAATTGTTCCCATTCCTGTTGCCTAAGTTCTTGCTTTCTATTCCTTGCATTTGTTAATGTAGCTTGGAATGTTCTGAGCAGGTCTGGGGGTTCTACATTCACTGTATGCTTTACCAATCCTCCTAGCTGCATGTGTTAGATTGCATAACTCTGGATCATTATAGTATTTACATTGGTTTTTATTGTTATTTATAGTGGAGGGTCTATGTTTCCTTTTCCTGCCCACTTGATCTGTGAGGACAGTCTCAATAGCAGTAACTAAATCATCATTAAATTTTTGTGTGCCAGTGGGCTGGTAATTCTTATACCATTGATCCAAGTGGTTAATAAAGTTATCTCTGTGTTCCTGGTTGAGAATAAGTTTCCTCCTTCTGAATTTAGCTTCTTGATTGCTGGAGATGTAATCAAGATTGACAGTTGTTAGTCTTCGGAAGCGATCAGATAGAAGATCATCAACTATGACAGTCATGCATCGTATATGATGTATTAAATCCAAGGCACAGATCTAGTATGCCACCATATATGTGAGTAGGCTCAGTCAGTGTCCACAATTCGAACATTATCATGCTCATTTAGCAATTTCACTAGTTTAGTTCCATTGGTGCTTGTTATAGACCCACCAATATTCTTATGTCTGGCATTAAAATCTCCAAGAATGAGGGTAGGTTCACTATTGATGCGATCTGGTAAAGCATCAGGTCGAAGCTGGTTCGCTGGAGCATAGAGATTAAAAATGTTTAGGGAAAAATCGTCTGCATATACTTTGACACGATGATACTGCATAGTAACTTGACTCTGCAAGGAAAGGAGTGAATATGGCAAGTTCTTTCTGACATACATCACACAACAGTTGGTTGACCTTAGGTTATAAGCTGCATATCCAGGCAACTTTGGTGGAGGTGCTCCATCTTTCAATCTACATTCCTGCAAACAGATGACATCAATATTCTTGGTTGCACTAATATGATATAAATCAGGCAACCGCTTCCTGATGGAAGCAATGATCTACCAGTGTCAGGGTCTTGAGAACTATTTATATTGGACTGGATGAAAATACCTCCCACCCTCCTGGTTGTACAAGCATGATATTCCCTAGTACATTGGTCCCTCGATAATCGTTGGGCTCGATAGTCGTCCTTTTCGGAAATCGTCACGTTATTTTCATCCAAACATTGGCTCGCAAATGGTCGGTTGACTCACTAATCGTCGTTCGTCCTGGATGCG